CACTTTAATTGTGTGCTAATCTTTCATTGCAGATAAATTTGCAGTTTGCAGGAATATGTAGGCAAAGACCACTGGGCCCACAGCTGGTATGAAGGTGGAGGTTGACAAATTAATTTCATGTGCAAGCCAAGCCTTACAATTTTATTGCAGAAGTCATCTTGGCAATGGTAGGTTCAAGTTGTAAGGTCTGAGAAATCTGATATCAGATATCTTGATATCCTAGGGTGCTAAAATCACACTAATAGATTAATCAGTAGAAAATGTTCAGATGGTGTTCAGAAGAAATTTTGGGTGATTTTTAACATAGAAACAAACAACTGACTTTTAAAATTTAGTTAATATTGGGAAGCAGAAAAATACTAAATTAATTTCTGTAAAAACTGCTCTCTAAGCAGCTTGCTACAATTGATGTATCTATTAATCCATGAACAAAAAGGAAAGAAACATACTGAATACTTGAAGTGATAATCTGACTCCACCAAGGATTCTGCCAACACTCTGTCACTTGAAGAAGGCCAGAATGGCAGTCTTTGTGATTAGTAGAGGAGGACGAAAACTCTGTCTCTATAAAAAAAGTTGAAGTCTGAATTTACATTAAATATCTCAGTACAGTTTTCACCTGCACTGCATTTTGTACCTATATGAGGAACCTGCAACTCAGAAAGATACAAACTGGTGTAATTTATTTTAATCAACATTGCTATGCAGATTACTGTGCCTGACTCCATTAGAGAAGCTTTGACAAGGGGATCCCTTGAATTAACCCTTGGGCTTTCAAAACTGTCTGATTGCTGGTTTGCACCTGACACCTGTTTTACAGCTCCTTTGTGAACAGTGCTTGCTTTCAGTTGTATGATGTATAAAAGGAATTGTAAAATACACACAAAAAACTCTTAAAACTTTCGAAATTCTATTTTTGTAGCATGAGAACTTTTAGGGATGTGGGTTTTTTTTCTTCAAGAACATCTTTGACAAGCAGGATTGTTTACGAATTTGAGTCCAAGCATTCTTACAGGGTAAGAAGCCTGTTCTGCTTTGTCTCAGACAAGACACAGCATTGTGGATTTCTCAAAACATTGTGGAAGTGTTCAAGGCCAGGTTGGATGGGGCTTTAAGCAGTGTGGTCTAGTGAAATACATCACTGCCCATGGCTGGGGAATTGAACTACATGGTCTTTAAGAGGCCCTTTCCAACTCAAACCATTCTGTGTGACTCTGTAAGTATCTTGTGGGATGAGTCCCTGTCGCATGTTATTCCTGAACCATCTTTGAATCTAATCTGAAGTAGCAGCATTTCCTAGAAAGGAGCAATGCCTCCCGACTAGGGAAATCACTGGCAATTAAATAGTCTGTACTGTAGCACGCCAGTGCCTCAAGCCTGTGGCATGGCCTTGTTTTATTTCTTGACAAAATTCAAATGTATCAAAACCATAAATTGTCTTCAACTTTTACGATAATTTAAGAGGACAGATTAGTAAGGCCCAGGGTGAAATTTCATACCAAAATTAGAGGGAAGAGGGATCTGGCTCAGCATCACGTCAGTCACACAAGGTTTAAGGAAGGGATCCAGTTGTAGTCCTTCTTATGTGAATCAGTGAGCAATTAGGATATTTAGGAGAGGGTACTTGGACAAGGGGGAACTTGAAAGGGGAAGCATGAATTTTAGCCATCTCAAAGCTGCATGTAATAATGACTAGCCCTGTTGTTTAAGTAGAGACAAGTGGATATCTTTTTCTTAACCAGACAAGAATTTACTTTGGTAAAAAAGGAAATAAAATCTTCTGAAAGCTCAGTAAGCTTCTGTTTCCCATTAAGATTTACCCTTGGGTCCTACAGTAACACCCCTGAGGGCAATTGCTCACTTGCCCTTCTGGAATACTTCTCCCATCTGTGTTTTTCCTGCTCCATTTCTGTCTGAGTGCATGTACAGCACACCATGTACAGTATGGCGTGTGACACACATTAATACATATAGATAGCCTTCTGCTTCTGACCTTACAAACTGTCCACTTCAGCATTGTCATTCTATGAAATGTCCAACTATAGTCCAAGAAATGCATTTTAAATGTGAATGCAAACATTTCTATTACTGATAAGACCAACACAGCATTTTTTCTTTGCTGGGATTAGGACCTTGATAGTTAAAGTTACATTGGAGTAATGACAGTCCAAGGTTGCGTCCTTTACAGACATGGCAAAGGAAGGGGAGGCCTTTGATATGTCTCTGCTGATAAAATTAAGAAGGATTATTTCTTGTGTTTGGTGAGATTATATTAAAAGTGAAAGAATATATTTGTTACCCATAAATATGTTAGGTCACAGAGACTGGGAGATATTTACGTGTTGCACTGCACTGCAGTTGTATTTCATTCATGGTCAAAGTCTGAGTTTAGAAAACAATTTGAGATCTGATAATGATGTAAATAAATGCCTCTCTCCTCAGTGAACAGCCATCTTCTCACATGAACAAGAAAGCAGTTGCCATTCAGCTAGGGACACCTAAAATTAAAATAAAATAAAATAAATAAAATAAATTAAAATAGAATAAAATAAAATAAAATAAAATAAAATAAAATAAAATAAAATAAAATAAAATAAAATAAAATAAAATCACTGTGATCTGCAAAGAGAAAATCTCAGGAAATTTCAGCTTAGAAGGCTAACTCTGAATATGCTTCACCATGCTTCACTTTCATGCTCCGTAAAATGGGGGTAATAATCTTTATAGATCTGTCTACCTTTTAGCAATGCATTAAGAAGTTAAATTGTATCTTTACAGTCTTTTGAACAGTCTTGATATATGCATCTCTTACAATACAGCTTAGTAGGTGGGCTTGCCATTTCATCAGATTCTCCCACAGGAGAGCTGTCCTGCTTTACTTTATGGTTCTCTGGTCTTCCCGTGCTAGGGCCTTCTAACTGGGCAGGTTTGGTAAATCAGTGATGACTTCAGCACCTACCACTTGTTGCCTGAGCTGCCACAGGCAGCCAGGTGCACTCTTCTTGCTCCAGGAGTCAGTTTAGGTTGTCACCCAGTACTCCACGGCTGAGCCTACCTAGAGGCACATCGATGGGTGTGACTGCTGAAGGAGCAGCCACTCATGAGGACTCTGTCACTCCATTGAGTGGTATCTTAGCCTAACAATGGGAGAGGATGATAAGAGCCACCTGCCCCTCCTACTATGCCTGAATTACTTGGATATGTTTGCATGGTGCTTTTTAAGAACGGATTTTTTGGGATTGTTGTATGTCACCTCTGGTGATTTCAGTAGGCAGAGGTCTTCACATATCTGTTACTCTTCACCATGCCTTTCAACTCTATTCATTTTATATCCATAGCAAGAGTTTCAGTGTTGTTCCACTTTTGCACTCACACAAAACTACTTAGTAGTCTGCCCAAAAAGCTAACTGAGGCTTTCACTAAATAGTTATTTTAGAGCTAATTTTACACTGTATTGGATAGGATCCATTGATATAATATAAATTAATTGTTGAAATCAATAGGAAAGTAATATGTTTTATATATTTGTGTGGGCAAAAAAACTTTGCTTTTGAGTTTCATTAGGAGCACTTCAGCCTATTTTCATGAGAAAACTACTCGGTGTCTAGTGCTATGTATACTTCTCTTTCTCTTTCCATCCATTCAGCTCTCCATACCTACTTAATGGCTTTGAATCAGCTGATTAATTTCTATAAAATTTTTCAGAAACAAAGAGATCTAAAAAGATGACTAACCTCCCAAATGGAATGAGAACCAGCAGACAGACTGTGGAAAACTACCCTGCTTCTGTCTCCACTGAGGAAAAAGAAGGAAAGCTCAGTCATAATCCACCCTCTTTCTCAGCAGCCCAGTGGGTCAATATGTGGTCAGGTACACAGGACAATTGGGATCATACTAGTGGGAGTCAAAATGGACAGCACAGTGTGGTGAATGCTGAGGATAAAGAGGAAGAAGCAAGGTTTCTGGGAAGGGCAGACTGGAAGTCTTATAGTGGGGTAGATGTTTTCAGGGAGGCTATAATAAAGAGAGAGGAGAAGGTGGAGGAAATAGAAATGTGCCATGCTTTTTATATTTTTTTTTCCTGTTGCAGCAGTCCTATGACTCCAGCTTCATATGTTGCTGTTTGAAAAAAAAGAAAAAGTTTGGGTTTAGGCCCAAGTTTCATCAGAAGTTTATTTCAGATTCTCTAGTACTTGTAAAAAGAATCTTGCAACAGCATAACTTTTTCCAGCCTAGCAGCTTATTGACTGACAAGCTTTCTTACAACATCTGTTTGACATGTCATCCTAATATTAGTTTTACCGGCACATTCGCATTTTAGGAAATCACTGTATTCTCAAGTCTGAGATGTCATAAGTGTCTCTTTCTGCAACTACTTGCCCCAGAAATGTTAGCTAATATATTTTATCAAACATCAGCCCCCCTGTTGCGTTGTACTTCATAGCTGTCATCCAAAACCAGCTGCATTTTTATGAACATATCTTAATAAGGCATGCCCTGAAAAGTACCCGTATCCCTTTTTATCTTCCTGAGATCACATGGGAGTAATAGGTGGTCATCTAGAGTACCAGGTATCAGAAAATCAAGTAAAATTACATAAGCCCCATCAGTAACATTATATGGATGATGTAGAAAGCAAGACAAAAAGACTGATACTTTTATCTATTTCACTTTGTGTTAAAATGAATAGTGGAAACAAACCATGATCCAGGGCCCAGAGTGTGGCCCAGCATTTGTTTCATGCACTCTTAGGCCACGGCAGATTTGCTGCAGATGACAGTGGACAGCGGTGAAATGTACAGGTGATATGTGACGTGACAAATGCATTGGAAAGTCCTCATCTCCTCAGTAAAGGAATGACTGTTTCCCACCCTCAGCCTGTTTTACTAGTTAAACTGTGCTTTTATCACCTAAGTTTGATTCAACGTGCAGAATATAAGGAATTAAGTACGGCAAGTATGTGTGGCACGCATGCATTGTCCCTGTGTTGTTTCTTCCAGATTATTGGAACAATCCCACTGATGCCTAATCCCGTCCCGTCCAGCCAGGCGGCAGGTGGAGCTCAGGGACTTCAGGTGCAGCCGATAACTCCACAGTTATTGACCAATGCCCAGGGTCAGATCATCGCCACTGTCATCGGCAACCAGATACTGCCAGTGATCAATACCCAGGGAATAACGCTCTCGCCGCTCAAACCAGGCCAGCAGGTAAATTGTCTGTAGCCTCAATGGTTATCAAAACAGACTCACTGAAAGAAACTTTCTGCTCCTCACAGACACTCTCGTGGCCTCTCTAAAAACCCTCACTTCTTTGCCATTTTTAGTAACAAAAATTAATTCTGTCCTGCGTAACGTATTACTGCATACTATATATGTAGTAACTAATAATGTCATATTATATCATTTATTTATACATTCAAGGATTATCCATTTATTCTTTTCTTTTCAAGGTCAGTATAGGACCAACTGAGATGTTTTCTGCAGTGAAAATGCAATAGGAATATGAGCCAGAGGAGACCCACCTGGCCTTTAAAGCTCAGCTCCTTAGTGGTCATCTAGAACATTGGGGCTTGAAATTATTTAGAACATACATGGAAAGCAAGGAAAAATATAAAATCTTATTTTATTTCCTCACTGGAAAATCCAGTATGATTGCGTATAATTGCATAGGCAAAAAGTATTCTGCAGAAATTTTTACTCAGTGTAAGGTTGCAGGTAGTTGACAGATTTAAGGATGGATCCAGTGACCACACTGAGGTCAAAAAATGCCTCTGTAGCTCTTCTTAAAGCACTCTAGAGTCAAATCCATTAGTTTTTTCTCTACGTCTGTAGAGAAAGGAATTGTAGTCCCACCTTTTTTCTCTGAAAGAGAAGAAATTTAGGACAGAAAATACATCAAATGTGATTGTCAAAGAAGTACTTACAAAAATGTTTCTCACTTAAATATCCAGCTTAGCATTCCTACTGCTGGTAGTGCTTGTTTGCCATTCCTGCTGACACCTCCAGGCACAGGGAGCAGCTTCTTGTATGATGCTGAGTATCCCAGGCCACCTGAACTCCAAACTGACGATTTTTATATATTTTCCTTTTTTTTTAATTTAGAAGTAGAGAACCAGTGGATTTCTAATGTCACTTTTTTGTTTATTCTGAAAACATTTCACATCCCATTGGTTACCTGCTTTTTTCCCATCCCATCCTTTGTAGTATCTAGCATGGGCATTTTCCAAAGCACTTGTCATTTATCTAACTCTATTTTCGTTAATGGGAGTGTACTTACACTACACTACTGGCAAATGCTTTTGCAATGGTTGCATATACATGGTTTCAAACAAAGCTGAATGGATCTGAGAACAGGCTCCATGTTCTCCACCACAGGAAAGCCTGACAACGAAATATGAAACTCAACAATTCACATTTGGTTTCCTGGGGGTGTGTGGGATGAGGGGGTTTTTTCTGAGCCTGTCCCCTGAAGGGATTAGATCTTTTCCTCCATTATTGGGGAAGCACTCAACTATCATAGCAATCCTGAGATCCCGTTTGACACTCATGAAATTTAGATGTAAATAGGAGGATAAAGGACCTGTATTATTGCCTGAGACATTCTCACATGCAGAGCAATTCACCTTCTGAGTCCTGCATCAAAGCAACCTCTTCCACTCAATGCCTGCCAGTAGTGTCCGTGGGCAGAGAGGGCACAGAGGTGCAATATTTTCTGCACAGCTTGTGGCACTGGGCTCACATAAAGGGAAAAACTGAAAGCTTCAGCTTGCTGAATGAGCAGGGGTGCAAAGTAGAAAGCAATGTTTAGCCACATTATGCTGTACTGCACTTGTTCACCCAACCTGTGTGCAGGGATCAGCTGGCAGAAATATCAGTGTGCAGAGAGCTGGTTGTGTCCAAGAGCCGAAGATGCTCCCCAGTAAGCTGGTCTGCCCAGCACTGCTATGGAGGTAGAAAACATTATTTTGCCACTACTGTTTTCACAGGGTTCAGCCCCTGTCTCTTTCTTACATGGAGTCCTGTCGTTCCAGGGGTTACAAGAAGGGCCACCAAACAGCACAGTCTCCTTACCTTGAATCAGCCTTTCCTAAGTTTAGTCAAGACAGTATTTTTGATCAGGGAGTGAAAAAAATGTAGTGCAAATACTATATGAAAAAATAGTACAGGTTATCGTTTCTATAGGAACCACAGAAAATTATTTCTATGTATTTGTGCTCCCTCTACTGGCGCTTCTGGTTTTACTGAAAGAAGTCAGACCAAATTTTGTCATGAATTTCAGTGGGAGCACAAAAGATGTGTGAGAGCTAGATTCCTCATAGGAATAATGCTGATGGACAGCGAAAAACAATTGAGCTAGTACTATACAGTGTTGTATTATCTGGAAAGTGAATAGATTTGCTCGAAGTTTAAGGAAAGGATTTCTTTTATTGCCTGGGTAGAGACTTAGTCTAACTGTAGCATTTGGCTAATGATAGCATATTAAGTCCTAAGGTTTAAAATATCATTTTCAAAAGAACTGAGTGAGTGCTTCAAATCTGAGGGCTTGGCAGGAATTCAAAATGTTTTTGAAAATGGTGTCACACAGCATTTGGTGTCTTCTAACCTGATGAAAGAAACTTCAGCAGGGGGAAAGATTACAGCACAAGTTTGGGGAAAGTTTTTAGCATGTCTTGAAGAAATAAATGCAGGAAATAAATAATGTAGTAAAAATGTTCCAGTAACGGATAATCCTAGTTTAACTTTCAACTTGTCACTTCCTTGGAAACTAAGTACTGCAGGAGAAAAAGAGCAGTGAGAGTGAGCTGCTGCTTGTTAGCTGAGTCACAATAATTGAACCTTTGTAAACTATTCCAGTTGCTAAGTAATGCATGCTAGTGCTTACTTTTTCCCTGATGACTGAAGACTTAAATGCCTCGGATATTGTTGTTAGTCAGCTTTACTTATGTAGACTATATGCCTTATTTATTCATACAACTTTTTCAGACATGACAGGCTAAAACCTCAATGTCTCCTAATGGAAATGAGTTCACAGAATACTTACATGCAGTGTAAAGCAGTGTTTCTTTTTCTGCACTGTGAATGTACACAAGCAAGTCTGATGTAGTCCTGTTCTTCCTGTATTTATGTTCTTCCTGATTTATGTTCTTTAAACTATCCACAGTAGGGATTGTTCCTCTTCAAATTACACCAAGTAGGTAAAACTTCAGGTATTTTACTATTTTCCAACATTTTGCCAATCTAAGGAGCATCTGTGCACACACCAAGAATTCTCCTAGAAATTGCAATGGCTTTCTAAAGCAGGCAGCTGTTTGCACTCCTGTTTTATTCTGTATCTTTTTTATCTCTGTTCATAAACAAGTTTTTCTTTGCCTTTAATAATTTTTGCTGTTCATCCCCCAGCCGTTTCCACACTAATCTCTTCAAGATTTTTTGATCAGAACTGAATGCCATGGTCACAGGGAGGATGCATCCCTGTTTTACATAACAAGATATTATTTTCAGCATTATTTCCTTTTGTTATCTCAATGCAGCCTAGCATCCTGCTTTTTTCTCTCTGTTCATGGAACAGTTTTACTTAATCAGCAGATGTATCCACCATAATATATTTTTGCTTCCCTGATTATTATCATGTGTGTCACTAAAATGGTTCTTTTTGATGTTAATCACTTTGCACTGATCAACTACCTGTCAAAATGCTCCCCTGGCATGCTCTGAACAGCATTTGTAAGTTTTTCATAGTATTCTGTACTAGTGAAGAAATCCATGTGTTCTTCCTTCAGATTCCACTTTACCATTATTTGCCATATTTCCTTGCTGGTTGCTAAAATCATTAAAAAATTTGGTATAAATCCTTTGTTCTCTACTTGTAGTCTCCTTTCTTGAAAAAGAAATAATAAAATTATTCTCTAATTTTATGTTTCTTGCATTATAAACTCTTTGTGTCCCATAATAGAAGACTACCTTGTAACTTTAACTTCTGCACTTCCTCCATGCCTCTCAAGAGGAATTTTGTCAAATTCTAGGTTGCATGGCTAAAGGCACATTGTTTTCGAGAACAGATGAATTTGTTGTAAAAACTTGTCTGCTTTGTCATTTATTATCCGATTCGAAAAATTCATTTCAAGGTGTTCTTTCTTATCACTAACAACATAGCCTTAACACCAGCACAGCTGAACTTGAGCCATGAAGTGCAGTCTTATAAAATGTAGGAAAGTATTCATTTTTCTTAGCTTACTCATAGAGGAGTTAGGTATCTGGTGTAAGCTAGTTTACTGGATTTCCTGCATAGACATGGACAAGCAGACATATGCATGTCCAGTGGAAAACTCAAGATGTCAAAATAGAAAAAATTTTTGATAGATTGAATCTCTAATAGGTATCTTAACATATCCATTGTTTCCATTGACATGAGGGAGGGCTAGGGCAGTTATTTTAGGATTTTCAATTAATTCTTAGGTGAGCAAAATTGACTGAGAAGAATCCAGCTGCCAATGATCACTGGGGTTCAAACACATTCTTGTTTATGAATTTCCTATACAGCTTTCCTAATAATTGGTGCTTTCATAACTATTTTCTTGCCCATACAGAAGCAACTTCTGGACATTTTATTGTTCTATGGTGTACCACATAAAGCAGCTTCTTGTCTCACTTTTGCCTGGCTCTTTCTTTCTACATACTACATTCATTAAATCAGGACTTTAGTCCCAGCTCTCCTTAGTTTTGTTTTATCTACAGTGCCTGACAGAAGTTTTCATACTTCATTATGTCTTAGAGCATGACCAGCTTTGGGCTTCTGCCAATCCTAACATAGTAAAATGAGCTACTAGACAGCATTTTCCTACATTTTCAGTTCCCCATCTTTGTTGTCATTGGCTATCATGCTCCAGATTAACTGTTGAAAAGACATAGATGCCTCTCAGATGGGTCTGTGGTGATTCTTGTACATCTGCTTGCCAAATTTCACACTAGATGTTCTCTTTCTGCAGTCTCAACCTGCCACAAACACCCTACCATCTTGTTATCACAACTCCATGCAATCTCTTGTTATTCTCTCCCATTAAAGTCTAACTAGCTCTCAATCATTTCCTCTCTGCAATGCAGCTTTGATGCTGTCTTGTTTTATAAGAAATGCTCTCTTCTTACTGTGATTCAATATAGTCACTAAACTGTGTTGTCTCAACCTGACTTTGTTTTTCTTTTGCTTTTTA